CTGGCGCGGGGATGGGGAGGGGGCGAGGAGGGGGGCTGTGTACCCAAGTGTGTCTGAGAGGGGCTGGGCGCCACCTCAGGTAAAGGGGGCCTGGAGCACCCCGGTGTCCGCGTGCCCAAGTGACGCCTTGTGTGAGGGGAGCGGTGGGCAGGCCTGGGGGTCGTGGAGCGAGCCCTTGGAAGGCTGACCGCGGAGAGGGCAAACGGAAGGGGGCGCAGGCCAGATTTTTGGGGGTGACCGGCCACACCTGCCACAAGGGGCGGAGGGCGAGCTGTAGATCCGTGCTGCGCACTACTGGGGGGTGCGGGGGACACTGCGGACGCAGCGAGGCCAGCCGTGACTTGGGGGCAGGGAGAGTCGGCGGCTGCATACAATGGCCAGGGATCGGGGGTCTACGTTTGTGTTCGTGTTCCCGTCCCTGGGCACTTGGGCAGCCGAGGGCAAAGGCAGCCGGGCTTGGGAAAGTGGGATTCACCCTGCACTGAGTGTACTGTATTGAGCTCCCTGCCCGAATGTCCCTACACCCCCTGGTCTCTGCTGGAGGGGAGCGGGGACCGACCTTGCCCCAGAGGATGGACGCCCCAGCCCGCGCAGCTCGTGGGTTCATTCTGCGGTCCTGGCTCGTCGTCACACAGCCTTGTCCCTGAATTCGCTTCTTGGAGCGCCGCGGACAAAGGCCCCGGGAGTGTGGCGGGCAGTGGCGTCTGGGGCCTGCCCGGCCCCCACCCCGCGCCAGATTGGCGCCTCAACTGCTCCAGGATGGTGGACACAGGAGCATAGCCCACGAGAAGCCGGGGGGCCCCAGGGAAACAAGAAGAGGGAAAGAGGGGCGCAGGGCCCTGGATTCAGAAGTTTTCGTTGGTAGGAGCCAGGGGCTTTGAAGAATTCAGACTTGGAGTTAAAACAACCCACAAATAGCCTGGAAATAAAATGCAACACCACCACCAACCCCCCGGGATGGGGGCGGCTGGTGCTCAGCTGTGCAGTTCTGTATCTGAAGTGGGGACCCAGACCCGTCCTGCTCGCGGTCAGCTGAGTTGGAGAGGGGAGAAGATAGGCGACGAGGAGTTGCCACTTGGGGCGCAGAAACCAAAGCAGGGATTGCCCAGCGGTTGGAAACCTTGAGGCGCTTCATGTGTCCCTTCAACAAATGTGCCCTTCACAGAGCTGGGTGCTGGGCTCACCAGTGTGTAAAAGGGACCAGCCGCCGCTCCCTGGAGGAGGAGCCACCAAACGGGACAACGGTAAATGAATAGCAAACAGATACAATGTCGCATCGGGCTAGGTGCTGCCGGGATAATGAAACAGGGAGAAGTAAAAGACTTGACAGGGGACCTGGGAGCAGGAGGGGTGCTGGAAGGAGACTTCTGGGAGTGCCATTGGAGCCAAGGCTCACCAGGAGATTGGGGGGGGGGGGGGGGGGGGGGG